TAGCACCTCCACTTTCCATCACAAGTCTTATGTCTCTTGTTTTCTCCTCTTGTAGAGCTGGACACAGAACCCAGGGCCTACGCATGTTAGGCAAGAGCACTATACTGGGACACAACCCCAGAAAGCCTATTTTTTATTTCTTTGTTTTCATCCCATTCTTAGGATGAGGGAATTTGTTATAAATAACACAAATTTTTTAGGATTCTTTTTTTTTTTTCTGGATGTGGTCATGCACACCTTTCATCCTAGCACTTAGGAAGCAGAGACAGGGGAATCTCTGTGAGTGACATACCAACCGGGTCTACCCAGTGAGTTTCAGGCCAGCTAGAGTTACATAGTGAGACCCTGTGTAACAACAAAAATCTAGGTGTGGTGGCTCTAGCCTGTAACTGCAATAGGGGTGTGGGCAGTTGGGAGGGCTTGCTGGCTAACCTAGCCAAAATGGCAAGTTCAGTGAGAGATACTATCTCAAACAGTCAGATGGAGAGCAAATGAGAAAGACACCAATGCTGACCTATTGCCTCCACACATATGTGCATACACATACATGAACACATATGCACATATGCCGCATAAACAATTAAGCAAAAAAATAGACAAAAGTTCTGCTCAGTTAGTGTTTGCCACACTATGGCTAATTTAAAAGGAGCAGGCATGGAAAGGGTGGCTTCTAAAAACATAGGATAACTGGTCCATGGACTGGCTCAGCAGGTAAAGGTGTTTGCTGTCAAACCTGCCAATCTAAGTTCAATTCCTAGGACCCACGTGATAAAAGGAGAGAAGTGACTCTGGAAAGATGTCCTCTGACCTCCACACAATGCTTTGGCATGCACGTGCCCCCTCCAATAAATAAACATAATAAAGGTAATAAAAAATTAAACATGGGCATTTGCTAGATAGGTTACTGGTAGTTTCCACAGCAGGCATGGAGCAGAGGCAGGATTTGAATGGGGGTTTAGGGCCAGATGGCCCAGGCTTTTCCCCAGTTTTAGGGGTGAGTGTCCTGCAACCCAGGGAATCACTCAGTCCTGGACAAATCATGAATGTGGTACCACATAGATCCCCAAAGTCAAGCCATTCTGCCACACTCCCTCCATGTTGCCAGGGAGTGGATTGTCACCACACACCTTTCCCTCCCTTCAGCCCTGGGTACCCTCCCTTGCGGCACCTTCACAGAGCCTTCTGCCTGCATGCAGGCTGGGACCAGTTTTCACAGCCCCATCTCCTGTCTCCAGGACTGCTACACGGGCATGTTCACACTCCCAGTGACTGGAGTCAATATGTATCTTCAGGGTGTGTCTGTGAGCAAAGCAATCCCTTCCTCCCAGGACATGAGGAATGAGGCTACCTCTCCAATGTAAGGACCATGCATTGTAGTTTCCATGTAGTGGTAGCGCAAGCCTTTAATCCCAGCACTCAGAAGGCAGAGGCAGGCAGATCTCTGTGAGTTCGAGACCAGCCTGGTCTACAAGAGCTAGTTCTAGGACAGGCTCCAAAGCCGCAGAGAAACCCTGCCTCAAGAAACAAAACAAAACAAAACAAAACAAAACAAAACGAGATCTCATCTGCCCTTTGGAGCTGTGGAGTCAGTGATACCTATTGACAGGAGGTAATGATGAGTAAGGAAAGACATTGCATAGAACTTTCCCTCAGGGGCCAGGGGTCAGGTGCAGGCACCATTTCTTTTCTCTTTACTGTTTTATTCTATCTATCTATCTATCTATCTATCTATCTATCTATCTATCTATCTATCTATCTATCTCTATCTATCATCTATCTATCTATCTATCTATCTATCTATCTATCTATCTATCTATCTATCATGTGTATAGGCATGCACACATACATGTATGGAGACCAGAGGACAATTTTCAGGAGTTGGTTCTCTTTTTCCTCTATCATATGGGCCCTGGGTATGACTCAGGTCACACTTGGTGGCAAGCACCTGTAACCACTGTGTCATCTTCTGGGCCCCAGACTCCATTTCTTACCACACTGCTTTGTATTTCCAGGGCATAGGACAGTGCCTGACATTCAGAAGGTGACCAGTAAATGCCACCTGCTTCTTTGTGTGTTCCTAAACATGGTGCTCAATGTTACTTTCCTTTCTTGGTGCCCTCTTGCCTCCTTTATCACTCGAGTCTGGGACTCATTTATAAATTTGGCTCCACACACTTCAGCCTCTTTGGAGGGAAGCAGGGCCCTCCTGGGGCCCAAAAATGTTTGCACATTTGTAGTGGACGCTGGGATGAGGAGCCCCAATCAATAGAGAGGAGGATGAAAGCCAGAGGGGTGACAGCATGCCTCCTGAGGAAGCCAAGAGATTTCCACCCAGACTCTCTGCTTCCTGGAAGCAGCTAGAAAGCCAAGCCAGAAACAGGCTTAGGCAGAAAGGGACATCTGTTCCTGCAGGCTCTGGAGGGGCCCCAATGCAGGAGGAAGAGTGTATCCTGCTGGCAGAGCCATTTGAGTTGTGCAGAGTCCAGACCAGGCCCAGAGAAGAAAGGCCAGTGGGACCAGGGCCAGCAAGACTGCTGCTCTGAGGGACAGCCTGGGTTTCCTGCAGCCCCCAGACACTGGCTCTTCCTCCTCTTGAGTGTTGCCTTATGGGGTCTCACCCATTGCCAAGTTGCTTCTACACGCTACCCAGGGTTTAGTCCACACCTGGGAAAACTGAACTCAGACTCGGTGTTTGTCCTGGGGTCCCATGGCCAGTGGGTGCCCAATCTGGCATTTAATTTGTTTGTTTGTTGTTGTTGTTGTTTTGTTTTTCGAGGCAGGGTTTCTCTGTATTGTTTTGGAGCCTGTCCTGGAACTAGCTCTTGTAGACCAGGCTGGTCTCAAACTCACAGAGATCCGCCTGCCTCTGCCTCCCAAGTGCTGGGATTAAAGGCGTAGGCCACCAACGCCTGGCCAAGCAGGCATTTGAGTTCAGCAGTTGTTATTCTACCTCTCCCATTACCACCTGTCATCCCTGTCCTATGTGGATGTCTGAAGAAATAGCCTCTTCCTGCACAGTCCCCTGAGCCCTGTTGGCCACACAGCCCTCCCCCCCACTGGTGGCCCCACACCAGTGTCTTTCAAGCTATCTATGGTTTGTGTGGACATTTACATTTTTTACATTTATTTTGGGGTGAGGGAAATAGAACTGTGTACACATGTGGGGGTCAGAGAACACCTTGCAGGAGTGGGCTTTCTCCCCACCATGTGCATCTCAGGGATCGAATTCAGGCCATTATTCTTCATGGCAGGCACCTTTACCCACTGAGCCCTCATGCATTTTTGAGGTCCAGGAGCTGGTTTCCCACATGTGGGTCTTTTGTCCCTAGGCAGATCCAGGTATGTCTGCTTTCTACACCAAGGGAGTTTGGTGGGGAGCCTGGGGTTCTTCAGATGTTCTCTTTGGAGCCTAGGCTTTGGGAAACATCCCTTCTTGTCTGTGAAATGGGTCTGAACCTGAACAGCCCAGATTTGGATACAGCAAGGGAGGGCCCTGGAACCTTGCCTGAGTGACCCTTCATATGTGCCTGGCACCAACTCTCAATGCCATCTGCTTCCTCCTGTACCCAGGGTGAATCTAAAAATGGGGGCCAGGTTAGGGAAGCTCTCTGGCTGGAAAATGGGACAGCACAGGGCAGGTGGGAAGCCCTGTGAGCTACCTCTTCTTGTTTCTGTCCCTGAGCTAGTTTGTCAGCCTCAGGTGACTCCATCCTTGGGTCTCTCCTGTCGAAAGCCCACCTACCACCCACCATAACTGCAGCCACTAGTCAGCTGTACCCACACACTATTTTTCAAATTTGAAAACAGAATCATGGAGGGAAGTGACTTTTGTGGGGTTAACAGGAGGCATGTGACAAGGAGAGAAGCTCTCGTGAGATGGCACTGTCATACTAGGCACTGACCAGAAGTGTCTTACTAAAGCCTCACAAAATCCCAAGAAAACCCTATGCCACTGCCACCATGCCTGTGTTGCAGACAGTGATACCGAAACACAGAGAGGTTTCAGGTTGCTTAATAGCTAATTTGAGGAGCTGATGTTCAAATTCATACATTGAAACTCATACTGCTGGGATATACTGTGTCTCATTTGGCCTGCCTAAGCCCAGTGCCTGGAACAGAATCTGAGGACATGGCTGAAGGGCCTGTTAAGAGTATCCTTAGGGGGCTGGAGAGATGGCTCAGAGGTTAAGAGCACTGACTGCTCTTCTAGAGGCCCTGAGTTCAATTCCCAGCAACCACATGGTGGCTCACAACCATCTGTTATGAGATCTGGTGCCCTCTTCTGGTGTGCAGATATACATGGAAGCAGAATGTTATATGCATAATAAATAAATAAAATCTTAAAAAAAAAAAAGAGTATCCATAGAATCCTGGCATAGTGGTGCATGCCTTCAATCCCAGAACTTGGGAGGCAGAGGCAGGCAGATCTGTAGAGCTCTAGGACAGCCAGAGCTACATTAGTGAGACCATGTCTCTAAAAAACAAAACAAAACAAGAGTGTCCATAGATGCTCAGGAAGAGCTGTGTTGGGCTCACTGTAGGCAGCAATGACTCACTCCTGCCCAGTGGCTGCCTCTTTAGGACAGTCAATTCACCCATCTTTCCCACCTCTTACACAATCTCAATGCGTTCAGTCACCTAGACTCTTTCCTGTGTGGGGTGTGTGTGTACATCCATGTATCTACAGGGAGGCCAGAGGTCAATTGTAAAGTATCTTCCTCTATCGATCCCACCTTCTTTTGAGACAGGGATTCTCACTGTAGATTTGGCTGGGCTTGTTGGCCAATGAGATTCAGGGACCTTCCTGTCTCTGCCCAACCCCTCCTTCCACCCCCAACAGTGGGGTTACTGGCAAGTGCCACCACACCTGGGTTTTTACATGATGCTAGGGATACAAACTCAGGCCTTCAGGCTTCTGTAGCAGGGACTTTACCAGCTGAGTCATCTGTCCAGCCTCCTTTACTAGAATCTTCAGATACTGAAACAGGCCAAGTAGCTCACTCGGTGGAACACTCTTGCCTAGCATGCATGAGGGCCTGGGTTTGATCTACAGTGTGGAATAATCTGGGCATGGTGGTATGTGGCTATAAGAGACAGGAGTATCAGGTAGGTCATTCTTGGCTACATAGTAAATTTAAGGACAGTGTGGGAGAGAGAGAGGAGAGAGAGACAGAGACTTGACAGAGACTTGTATGAGCTCAGGGATGCTCCTCTAAGACTACAACCTGGTCTACAGAGCAAGTTCTAGGACAGCCAGGGCTACACAGAGAAACCCTGTCTCAGAAAACAAAACAAAAACAAACAAACAAACAAAAAAAGACTACAACCTTATCTGCCCACTTCCTGCTGGGCAAAGCCTCCTCTAGTCAGCTGCCTGCTTACAGTGAATTCCCATCTCAACTAGTCTCCAGAGGGGGCTTGTGTGTGTGTGTGTGTGTGTGTGTGTGTGTGTGTGTGTGTGTGTGTGTGTGTGTGTGAACATGATTAAAGTTCTGTAGATGGGAACATGTGCCTCCTTCCTAGTCCCCCAGAGCAGCCAGGTCAGATCATACTCCAAAACAGCTCTTGTCACTGGGAAAGTGACTCAGCAGGTTAAAATGCTAGCCACAAAGCCTGATGACATGAGCTGGGTCTCCAGAACTCTCAGTGGAAGGAGAAAACTGACCTCCACATGCCTGCCATAGCATACACAAGCCTTCAACTACCCACACTTGTTGAATACACACATGATACATACACACAGTAATAATAAATATAGTTAAAAGTTTTCAATTTCTTCATTTATATATACATGTGTGCCTATAGGAGTTTATATGAACTACAAGCTTGCAGTATCCTTGGAGACCAGAAGAGGACATCAGATCCTCTGGAATGGGAGGTACAGACTATTGTGAGCCACATTGTGGGTTCTGGGAACTAAACCCGGGTCCTCTGCAAGAACAGTAAACCTCTTAACCCCTGAGCCATCTCTCCAGCCTCTAATCTTTAAAAAAAAAAAAAAAATAGCCCTCAAACCAGCCACATTCTCCAAGGTTTACTCTGGGGCCTGAAAAAAACATGTTTCTTACTGACCCCAAACACTGGGAGTCTAGGCTGAGCCCAAAGGGACCCATCCCTGTTTCATAGGACATTTCAAACATGGGACAGATCCCGAGCCCTGTCCCCACTTTCCTCACTTCCAACTCCCCATAGACTCCTGACATGCACTCAATTCTTCCTGAGGTAAGTGAGAGGGTTTGGAAAACAGTGGCATTAGCTATTCCTAAGGAGACCCCAGCCCTCGGGCCTCCCACCCCATGACATGGATCCCTAGCCTGTGGCCATGTGAGGTCAAGGGATGAGAAGAGAGCACATTTGCTCTGCCCTATACAAGCCCACACTTTAAAGTGGAAACAAGGTATCACTGGAGGTCTGAACTGGAAGGGGACAGCAGGCTGCAGAGGAAGTGATAGATCAGCCTGACGATTCCATACAGGGGTCACTTAATCACAGATGCTGGTAGCTGGCTGGAAAGGAATGAGTCACAGGCAGGAACAGGGTTTGGGCTTCCTAGGGAAAGACGGTGACTCAGATAGCCTCAGGAGGCCAGATGTGGTCGGGAGCTATGGTTTGAATGTGGAACCTAAGGACTCACATTGAGGCAGAACAGGGTATCTGAGAGCAAGGACTCTGAATTTAAGTATTTTGGCTTTAATCCCAGCTGTACAACTTACTAATGCTGTCACCGGAGCAGGTGGTGCAACCTCTCTCCAGCTTCAATGGCGGCACCATGGGGATTACTGGAAGACTCAAGTGCACAGCCGCAGCAACCCCGTGAAGATGGGACCTCACTGCCCTTTCCTGTTTTGCTTTGTTTATGGGGATGGGTGTGTAAATTTGCTAGTGTGGGTATGTACATGTGTGCAGGTATGTGTTTGTGTCTGGAGGCCAAAACTCATCAGCTGGTGGCTCCTCAATAATTCTCCACTTTTATTTATTTGTTTGTAAATTACATCTATTTATTAGTGTGTGTTCATGTTTGCATAGTCAAAGGACAAATTGGGGGAGTTGGTTCTCTTCTTCCAGGGAGTCGGGCTTGACAGCAACTGCCTTTACACACTGAGACATCTTGTTCCACTTTTATTTTTTAACATAGGATCCTTCACTGACCCTGGAGCTTCTGAAATCAGTTAGGCTGGCTGGCCAATAATCTGCAGGGACCTGACTCTCTCTCTGCCATTGCCCCAGCCCAACCCTGGGGTTACAGTCATGCACCACCATGCCTCTGTTTTTTTTTTTTTTTTTTTTTTTTTTTTTTTTTTGTGAGTGCTGGGGGATCAGCATGCTTCTGGGGCAGCCATTTGTGGACTGAGCTATATTGCCAGACCCTTTCTGCATTTTACAGATAGAGAAACCAAGGCACCAAACGGGTAAGAGATGCGCAATGGGCTCCATACAGCTAGATAGTCTGACTCCAACAATCCTGCTATCAGGCTAGTGTGAACGTTTAGCAGGACTGCTGGGGGCCCAGTCTTGGGGAGATCTCTCAGAAATCTGCCTGGCAGGACCTGGGACTTCACTGGGCACTACAGGAGCTGTGGGCTGGGTGGTTCATAGTGAGATGACCCTTACAAATCCCATTCACAAATGTTCACTCTCTTTAATGAGAGGGAGCCTGTCCCTGTTTTCCAGGTGAAGAACAAAGCACAGACTGGGTAACTGGCCTGGCTGAGGTCACAGAAGGCAGAGACTCCAGCGCCTTTTTACTCTCTTCAAGCTGTTTGTGCCATTGCCCTGAAGGCAAGCCTGAGTGTGGCAGAGGGTCTCCAAGGGAGCCAGAGAAGTGACAATCATGCTCATGCCTCTCCATCAGGGACAGAGGTATGCTTGCCTTTCCCAAAGTGACCTTGGCTCCTTGCAAACAGCCAGGAGCTCCTGCTGTGGCAGAAAATGTCTGGGACACCAAATTCACCCCCAAAGGCTGTTGCCCGTGACTGCATCTTAAACTATGAAGCAAAAATGACCAGAGGGCATGGCAGGAGATATCATTATTTCCCAGAACACAGAACCCCTGCCACCCAGCCTGTCCTGCTGCCATCAGCCCACCGCTTTGTAGATCACTCCCCAGGCCCACTTACTCATAAAGGCCACTGCTGCCACTACAGGCCTTTGTCATTCTCTGAGCTCACGAAGCCTTTGGAAAGGGTAAAGAAGACTTTGGTCCCAAGTTTCTCTAATGAAGGCTACATCCCAGCTAAGGGACAGGAGGGGACCTGGTCCCATCCAGCCTTAATTCTTAGATCAGATGCGGGCCTCCTGGGGGACTGCCTTCTGGTAGGCTTTGTCACAGCTGTCCTCAGATCTTACTGTCCCACCAAGATTACAGACATCTGGGGAGGCAGCAGGGGCAGAGAATGTCAGCCGTGACAAACTTGCTGCATAGATGAAGTTGGGTTTGCTAATCCTCCTTTTGGGAATTGATTTTGTTTCCAATGGTTCAATGTAGGAAACACACAATACGAAATTGATCATGTTTACTGTGTTAATGTAATTCAGCAGTATCAACTGCGTTTGTGATGTTTTCCCTTTTTTTGTATCCTTATATAGGTGTACATATGTTGGGGAGTGTGCGCATGTGTGGAAGCCAGAAGTTGACACCAGGCATCTTTCTCCATGATTTGATACCCTTTTTGGTTTTTTATTTTCGTTTTTTGATTTTTTTTTTTTAATTTTTCGAGAAAGGGTCTCTCTTTGTAGCTCTGTAGACCGGTCTGGCCTCGAACTCACAGAGATCTGCCTGTCTCTACCTCCAAGTGCTGGGATTAAAGGCGTGCACCACCACTGCCTCACTGCTACCTTATTTTTAAAGTACTGTATTTCACTCATTTTTTGTATGTATGTATGTATGTATGTATGTATGTATGTATGTATGTATATGTGCATGGTGGGCCACGATGACACCATGGTGTGAGAATGGAGATCAGAGGGTAACTCTGTGGAATCCATTCTCTCCTTCCACTTTACATGGTTTGGAAGAGGTCAAGTTTGCCTGGCAAAGCCATCTCACTGGTCCTTCCTCTTATTCAATTTTTTAAAAAGTTTTTTTTTTTTTTTTTTGCATCTGTATGCCACAGGGGTGTAGGTACCGGTGGAGACCAGAAGAGGGTGTGGGCCCCTCTGGAGCTGTAGCCACAGGTGGTTATGAGCCACCTGACATGGGTGCTGGGAAGTAAACTCAGGTCCTCTGTGAGAGCAGGTAGTACGTTACTGAGTCGGGCCCCCAGCGTGTTTTCAACCTTCTCTTTTGAGACAGGTCTCCCACTGAAACTGGAGCTCATTGATTTAGCTAGGCTGGCTCCCAGTGAGCTCCAGGAATCCACTAGTCTCCAACTTCCCCGAGCTGGGGTTGCAAGGCCATCACTGCATTCTGCTCTGACCTGGCTGCTAAGGATGGAAATAGATTCTCAAGCTCCAGTGGGAATCACTTTACTGCCTGAGCCATCTCCTGAGGCCCCTGGGGGTTTTTTTGAGACAAGGTCTTAGTAGCTCAGGTTGTCCTTGAACTTTCTATGTAGCCAAGGCTGATCTTGAACTCCTGATCTTCCTGCCTCTACCTCCCAAGTGCTGGGATTGTAGCCATGTGCCACCACACTCAGCCGCTTTTCTAATGCCATATCACTATCACTTTCAGAGCTCTGACTCTTGACTCGCCATTCCTCTGCCCGAAGCCCCCCAGGCCCGTTCTATAAAAGCATCTCAGAATAAGCAGAGCCACACAGACTTTGTCCTGTAACTGGCTTGCTTCACCTAGCCTCCAGTCCTAAGGCTCATCTGCACTGTAGCATGTACCAGAACTGTCTCCTTTATCAAGGCTGAGCAATGTTCCACATTTTACATTTCCATTCACCCATTGGTGGCTCCTGGGCTGCTTCTACATTTTTGTTGTTGCGTTTGTGCCACTCTTGGTATGAGAAAACACTTACCTCTTGAAGGTCTTGCTTTAAGGTTGGTCAGAAGTGAGATTGAGGATCCTATGGTAATTCTAGTTTTAATTTTTTTTTGTTTTGTTTTTTCAGACAGACAGAGTTTCTCTGTGCAGCCCTCGCTGTCCTGAACTCATTCTGTAGACCAGACTGGCCTTGAACTCACAGAGATCCACTTGCCTCCGACTCCCTAGTGCTACCACCAACCACCTTTTTTGTTGTTTTTGTTTTTGTTTTTCAAGACAGGGTTTCTGTGTTAGAGACAGGCCTGACTGTCCTGGAACTCATTCTGTAGACCAGGCTGGCCTCGAACTCACAGAGATTCTCCTGCCTCTGCCTCCCGAGTGCTGGGATTAATACAAATGTCACCAATGCCCTGCTAGGTTTAACTATTTTTGTTTTGTTTTCTTTTGTTTTTTGAGACAGGGTTTCTCTGTGGCTTTGGAGGCTGTCCTGCAACTAGCTCTTGTAGACCAGGCTGGTCTCGAACTCAGAGAGATATTTTTAACTTTTAAAGCATTTTCCATACTGTTTTCTAAAGTGCTTGTGCTATTTAGTATTCCTGCTGCCATAGTGCATGGGTGTGGGCTTTTAGAGAGCAGATATTAGGACTTGCCTCATTGAGGTTCCTCCACCCTCCACCCCTGCCTCTCTCTCTGACATTGTCATGTAACCCAGGCTTGGCCTGGAACCTAGGATGATCTGAAACTTCTGGTCCTCCTGCCTCCATCTCCTGAGTGCTGGGATCACAGGTGTGTACCACCGTGCCAGGTTGTTGCAGTGCTGGGATCATACTGGGTAAAGCACTCTACCCACTGACGCAGGCCCAGCCTTCACTGAAGCTGTGACTCCATCTCCCTAATGGTTACGGATGCAGACTGGGCTTACCAGACTTCTGCATATTCTTTCCTCTTTGGAGAACTGTCTGTTCAAGTCTTTGCCCATTTTGTTGTTCATCTATTTTTGTGTCGTTGAGACAATGTATCTAAGTAGCCCAGGCTGGACTAGAACTCTCAGTCTCCTGCCTCAGTCTCTGGAATATTGAGAGTATAGGTGCACTCTACTGTGCCTGGACTTTTGACCAGTTTTGACTCAAAATTTTATTATTATTTTTTGTCGTTAAGTTTTAAGAATTTTCTGGGGGCTGGAGGGATGGCTCAGAGGTTAAGAGCACTGGCTGCCCTTCCAGAGGTCCTGAGTTCAATTCCCAGATCCCACAAGGCAACTCACAATGGTCTATAATTCCAGTTCCAGGAATCTGGCATCCTCACACAGACATACATGTAGGCAAAACACCAATGCACATAAAATAAAAATATATTATTTAAAAGAAAAGAACTTTCTGTGTGCTCTAGGATTGACTTTTTATCAGATATTTGGTTTGCATTTTTTTTTGCCCACTCATGGGTTGATATTTTACTGTCAACAATACTTTAAATTGTTTTAGACCTATGTGTTAGTGTTTTACTCTCATGTATGTCAGTGCACCATGTGTGTTCAGTGCCCCAAGAGGCCAGAAGAGGGCGCCAGATCGCCTGGAACTGGAGTTCTGGACAGTTGTGATCTACAGTGTAGGTAGGTACTAGGAACCGAACCTGGGTCCATTTTTCTAGCTCCCAGGTTTTAAATATTTCATCTAAATACCATGCACTAGCTGACTGTGCCACTGCAGCTCCCTAAAATCTTTCTAGCAGCACCATTTGTCTACCTCGTAAAAATCCATTTTCATTCAACAGACAGTTTCATTCATTGCAAAGTTGAATGGCTGGGGATGTGGCTCATTTGGTCGAGCATGGGCCTCGAATGCACACAGTCTTGGGTTCCATTACCAGCACCACATAAACCAGATGTGGTGGTGCAGGAGTTCAAAGTCACCTTTGGCTACACAGCAAGTTGGAAGCCAGCTTGTCCCAAAGGAGAGAAGATTGATCTTTTTTTTTTTTTTTTTTTTTTTGGTTTTCCGAGACAGGGTTTCTCTGTATCTTTGGAGCCTATCTTGGCACTCGCTCTGGAGACCAAGCTGGCCTCGAACTCAGAGATCCGCCTGCCTCTGCCTCCTGAGTGCTGGGATTAAAAGCGTGCGCCACCAACGCCCGGCAGAGAAGATTGCTCTTTTGCCATTGATAGTTTGGGCACCTTTGTAAGAAATCATTGACTAGGATTCAAGTGTGGATCAGAAAGTAAAGGTGCTTGTCATGCAAGCCTGAGGACCTGTTGTTTGTTCCCCAGGACCCACATAGTAGAAGGAGAGAACTGACTCCCTGAAGTTGTCCTCTGACCTCTACATGCGCCCATGGCACACAATAAATAAACACATGTAAACAAATAATCTGACCTTATAAGTAAACATGTATGTCTGGCTCTCTGTTCTCTGTCCTGTTAGCCTATCTTTATACCACAGTGTCCTGGATACTGCTTGCTATTGACTTTCAATCCAATACTATCTGTGATATCAATTGTTAAAATTTTACTGAGATTTGCTTTATGTCTTGTTTGGTATAGACATGCTAATTTTTGAGATCCTCAATGAAAAAAAATATGTTGGGAGTCAGGCCTGGCAGTGTAGAGTCTATAGTCTCATAGGCAGGTGGGGAGGTGGGAGGGTCATCGTCAAAGCCCACCAGCGTTACAGAGTGAGTTTGTGGCTGGTCCAGGCATCTTAGTGAGACCTTGTATCAAAACTGGGCCAGGGATGTAGCTCAGTGATAGAGCACTTCCCAGGCTCTCAGGAGTCCCCTGCCCTGTGCAAACATTGCTGGGTACCTAACCCTTTATCCCACTGTTGCTTGTGTCTGTCCTTGTGCCTTTGCTGTGTATTGTCATTTGGGCTTGTGCAGTTACTGGTGCTTTCCTCAGAGAGAATTCCATGTGGCCTGTGCAGTGGGCACAGTGCTCCAGCAAGACTTGCTTCTCTATTTCCACTTGCTCTATGGTGTTTGTTTTTTTACATTAATTTCTCAATTTGAGAGTTCTGGGATTGTGTGAGAAATACGAGTTTGCACTTCAGCTTGGTGCCAGAAAAGGTTTAGAGTTACCATTTCTCCAGAGAATTTGTGTGTGTGTGTGTGTGTGTGTGTGTGTGTGTGTGTGTGTGTGTGTGTGTATTTCTGGTAGTCAGGGAAGAGCTGGTCCCCAGATACCACCTCTGCACAGGGGTGATCCCGGGCTTGGGCCCAGTTCTCCTCAGCCATCCTGGTTTTGATTCTCTACTGGCCCAATCCCAGGGTCCCATCCCTACAGAGGCCCAGGTCAAGCTCTTTAGCTACCAAGGTCCTCAGAGGCCAACATCTGTTCTGTCCCCACAACTGCCACCTCACCACCCCACAGCTTTTTATTTTCTCTTTGTTTTTTGTCTCCAGACATTTTCCTTAAAAACTATCTTAGAAACTTGAGTATTTTAAAAGATGCCTGTGATTTTTTTTCCTAGTGTCTCCAATATATTGTATTATTACAGAAGGTTCTAGCCATCTGAGAGTGCCCCAGACCAGGGCTCCACTCTCTGGACTAATTTCGGAGATGCCCCCCACCCCCAGACCTTGTCTGATGTGCTCCACCTCACTCAGCTGCTCACAGTGATGGAAGGCATAAGCTTGTGAAGAGGACAAGCAAGGGGCATGAGGGGCTGACACTACCTCTGGAGTAGTTTCCCAGTGGCCTCTACAATTAAACACCTAAATCCCTGGTGGTCTCCACAAGATGGCTGATGCCGAGTCATCTCAGAGCTGAGGAGCATCAGGGACAAGGCTCTCTTCAGTGGCACTTGGGTTGGCAGGAACTGGCGCAGCCTCAAACCCATCCATAAATATCCCCCTGGGCCCTCTGCCTACTTCCCTCTCAAGGTGTTCCGAACTGAATATACTAGCCATCTCCCCCAGATACCCCTCGTAGAGGTTGTAAGTTAACATCAGATGTGTTTCTCCATCACTGTCCACCTTAGTGTTTGAGACAGGATCTGTCATTGAATTTTGACCTCACCAATTAGCTAGACAGACTGCCCAGCAAAACCTGGGGCCCTCCTGCCTCCACCTCCCTTGTCCTGGGATCACAGATGCACAGCACCACACTTAGCTGTCTCCCTAGGTGCTGGGACTTGAACTCAGGTCCTTGTGCTTGTGTGATAAGTACTTTACCCACCAAGTCATCTCCCCAGCTATCTCCTCACTGGATTCTTGGTCTATGAGCAATGCCAGCACCTACCTCTTTGCCTATACCTCATATACCTAGTGGTTTTTAAAGGTTCCTTCTAGAAAACTCTAAAGCCACTCATCACCAAATCCCACACATTCCCAAAATCCTGGACTCTAGCTACTTTTTGTCCTGTTGCCTTAAGTGTCCAGCCCTCTTCATCCCCACAGAGGTCATTTCTAATTTCACCCTACAGTGGCCCTGGTCATACACACCAGGACTCCTCTGGGTTCATGGCTTGCCTTCCAGATACTCAGCGTGCCTGGAGTTCCAGAGGCCAGGACTCAGCCTTTCTTCCTTGTCCCTTCCTTTATGGCTCACCACTGAAGAGTAGGTGCCTGTGTGCCCTGCCTTAGCAGGCTATAGGACCTTCTGAAGTGTGTGCTCTCAGCAGCCAGCATCTAGATGAAGAATTGCCTCATAGGGTCCTCATCTGGCCTGGGATAAGGGACATGACTTTTTCTTTTGTAAAGGCAGGGTTTCTTTGTTAGTTCTGGCTGTCCTGGATTCACTCTATATACTAGGCTGGCCTCTAACTCAAGAGACTCACCTGCCTCTGCCTTCCAAATGCTGGGATTAAAGGTGTGTGACACCACCGCCCAGGGGGACATAACATTTTAATATAGTTTATCTGACCATCTGCTTCATACAGTTCATCAAAGACTGAAAAACCATTTGTGTTGCAGCTTTTCAAAATCAACTAATTAAGCTTGCAAACAAATGCTCATTCTCACCCCACATCATTCCCACTCCTCACCTGGCCCAACTCTGAGTTTCACCTAGTCTCTGACCTTACTTACCCCTGGAATATGGTCCCGAATTTAGGGAAGAGAATGGGGAACGGCTAGGCACTGCCCACCTGCTTCATAGAAGATGGGCAATCAGGCCCTAGAGTAGGCTTGCTCTCAGCTCACGGTGTCTCAAGAAATGTGGGAGTCACTCATTAATCCACCAACAATAAAGAACTGTAGCTGCTTAGCAGGGGCAAGCAAGGCATATGATAAGAGACACAGGTATTAACTATTGCCTTGTCCCCAAAAGGCAGCTTTATGACTCTGTCCATGACGGCTTGGGACTCGGGGAAACAGATGGATCTAGAGAGGTGGGACACTTTCAGGAAATGAACTGACTGGCCCCCTTTTCTGCTCCTGCAAACAAATCACAGGCCTGGGTGCTGTAAGGGATTCTGGCTAAGGCAACTCATAAGAGTTACAAAATAGTCCCAGTGCTGAGATTAAAGGGGTGGTGGTGTCTCACTCCTCTAATCCCAGCACTCAGGAGACGGCAGGAGGATCTCTGTGAGTTTGAGGCCAGTGAGTTCCACTGCTAGGCATAGTGGTGCATGCTTGCAATTCCTGCACACGGGAGATAAAAGCAGGAGGATCAGAAGTTCAAGGCTAGCCTCAGCTACCTAATGAGTCTGAGGCTAGCCTGGGCTATATGAGTCTGTTTCAAGGAACAAAACTCACAGCTGAGTACTTCCCAGAAGTCAAACAGTGAGGCTGTTTTTCAAGATGGTGGCCAGGTGTCAGTGACACAAGCAAATGAAGGCCCAGCACTGCCTTCCTGCCTGGACTCCTCTTCCTCACTTCCTGCCAGCTCTTCTGTAAGTTTTTTTTCTTTTGTTCACACTCATCTGCTCCCCTCATCTCCATGGCCAGTCTTGGGCCAGTCCTGTTGGTCTTGCTGGCCCCAGGAGTCTTTACCTTTACATGTACTTGCTGTCCAAAACGGAGATGCAGCCAGCCCAGGTCTGCCTCTCAGCTGTTTCAGAGCATCACTATTTGTTAGTCACATGATAAGGTGGGTCTACAGTTTGCCTAGTGGGTGCTCAGAGCTACCAGCAGACGGAAGAAGACAATCATCCTTGGAGGGGACAGAAGAGACCACAAATCAATGCCAGGAGCAGCCAGGGCAGAGCCTGCAGGTCAAGTGGAATGGCCAGGCACTTGGGCAATGACAGCAGTCTTGAAGGACATGTATTGAGGTAGAGTGACAAGAGGTGAAGAGAGGACACCTTGCAGACTGAGGGTACTGAGCTCCGTGGCTGTTTGAAGAGGGTTTTCCAGATCCTTGTTGGGATGCAGGCAAGAATAGAGACCTATGGCCCATGGCTAAGATGCTTCTAAAGGGGGCAGGCTGGGCAGCATAGGAACTGCAAGGCAGGGAGGCATGGGAGAGACTGGACATGCAGATATGATATGGGATGGGGTGGGAAGAGAGGGGAGGGACACTATGACCACACATGACCAATAGGTATTCATGGAATGTGTTAGATGGAGCCCACAGTTGGGTTGCAGCTCAGCAAGGGCAGTGCTGAAGTATGTCCGAGGCTGCTGCCTGCTCACGTCTTCGGGGATGGCTTGTGGCACAGAGAAATGTGAAAGACCCCACTCTGACCATGTGGTGACAAACTGTAGGAACTAGCAGCAAAGGCAGCCAGATATCCCCTCAGATCTATGTGCCCCTGGGCTCTTGAGTGACATGACAACTTAAAAGGCCCCTTCCTTTCTGTGGGTGCTGGCCCCTAGCTCTCCACTCCTGCCATGTGTCTATTAGTCAAGACTCATAATTCCAAAAGGAGCAGGCCTGTGTTCCTGGCCAAGTGCTCCGCAGGCCTACAGTTCAGGCTGGCTAGGCAGTTGGGAGGGCTTTGTAATGGTTGAGGATTGACCTAAAGCTGACACTATCCTCATGGAAGATACTTTACCCTCATTAAGCTTTTTACATTTACTTAAAAAAAAAAAATGGTATATGTATATCCATGCATGTATGTGCATGTGAGTGCAGGTGCCCTTGGAGGCCAGAGGCATCTGATACCCCGAGGCTACATGGATGCTGGGAATTGAACTCAGGTCCTCTGTAAGAGCAGTATGTACGCTTAACATCTAAGCCATCTCCAGACCCTTAATGTGTGTGTGTGTGTGTGTGTGTGTGTGTGTGTGTACATGTGTGTGCATGAAGTACATGTAAGGGTAAAGCATATGTCATGAGTGTGGAGATCATAAAACAACTTTTCAGATTAGGTTTCTACCTTCCCCTTTTATGTAGGATTGAACTCACATTGCTAAATTTCACACCAAGTGCCTTTATCTGCTGTGCCACTCAGTGACCTGGTCTGATGTTTGCCCAGCATAGTGGCTCACACCTATAGTCTCAGTTTAGGAGACTGAGGCAGAAGGGTTGCCATCAGTGTGAGATCACGGGGACCAGAAGAAATGAGGCAGACACACCATCCAGGGGACTGGGATTAGCTTCGGAATGTGACAATTTATTTGAGGGTGAAAGAGGTCTCACCCCCTTTTCCTGGCATCGATACAATATTGAAGAGCAGCAGAACAAAACGAACGAGACAGAGTGATCAGCACGAGCCCGCCCTCCCCTGGCCCAGAAGCTACCAAACCCACATCCAAAATAAGCTACCTTCCCCGCCAGAAGTTCTCCCCAAGGGGCCCCACCCTTCATCCACCGGCTAGCTTTACCATGTTCCTGTCATTAACCACTGGAGGCAAAGCTTAGCCAGCTGGGAGCTGGATGGTTGAACCACAGACAAAGGCAGACACGTCACCCTTAAAACGCGAGAGAAAAGAGACAGTGCCCGTCCCCAAATATAGAGCTATGTACGTATATTATATATATATATAGAATCCATTCGTGCAGTTCATCAAATGAGCTTCTTAAAAATTAAAACAAAATTATAAGATACATATTTCTTTAGGCCTTTGTGTTTTTAAGTTAAAACCAACAAAAAGATGCCTGCTTCACCCCTTGGCACAGGTGTGCCCAGCATTTGACTCCTTCCTTCCACCTGACCTCTTCAGACCCTCTGGCTCCATCACCTAGCTGACGCTCTGCGTACAGTGGGAGTGGAGTCCTGACTCCTGTATGGACGGAGGGACCTATAGGCTAGGAAGTGGGTCCTTACCCCCACCTAACCTTCTCGGTGGTGGCTGTCAGAAGGGGCGCCGAACCCCACTCTCTGGGCTTCATGAACCAAGAAGAGAAGCAGACAGAACAAAACTAAAACCCTTAAATTTTCTCTTATCTTTTAAAAAGTGATTCCTTGAACCGCAGAAGCCCCAGAGAGGCCGCCTTGGCCTAGTGCACCGGAACCCAAGGGCAGAGCTGACCAGACCGGGTTCCACCATCCATTGAAGTGCAAAACAAAACAAAGAAGAAAAGAAAGCCAACCAAACAAACCAGAAAAGTAAGGGAAAGGGGTATGGCCTCTCAGGTCCCCAGATGTCAGGAAGTCTGGCCTAAGCCCAGATGCTTGACCGGCCTAGTTTCTGCAAGGGCCAACTCTCTAGTCTAGGCACCAGCCAGCCTGACTCCCTGCTTTCCCTCTGAAGGCCAGGGAAGCCTGGGCTCTAAGCCCTCCTCACTGCAGCGAAGTAGTTTAACCTCCTTTGAAAGAGACAATTCCCCCTCCCACTGACGCAAGGGTGGCTTGCCCAGAGGAAGGAGGCTCATTTTGCTCCCTTAGGGGATGTGGGCAGCTGGAGGCCCCGGAGGGCTTTGTGCACAGGCCTAGCTGCTCTGAACAGCCCTTTCATAGAGGGACTGACTAAACCAGGATGGGCCCCAACCTTCCATCTCAAAACCCAAGACCCTGGGGACTCACCTACTTCCATTTCCTGACAAGTGGGTGGGAAGGGTGCATTTACAGGGCATGACCACCAGGGAGGTCATTTCACATACAAAAATAAAGCAAACCGGACTGCAACTTCTGCTTGCAAACAAAGAAAAGCAGCAAGAGGGGTCGGGGCCTGAAGTAGGCTGATGGTGCAATGTTGTGTAGGGTCTGTGTAGAGCCCTAGGCCTCTTACTCCAGGCCATCTGGGAGAGGAAGAAGGGCTCTGCTCACCAGCAGTCCTGGGCATTCCCCTCGTCCAGTCACCTTGAGGCCTTGTGTGCGAGTTACCCCATCAGCGGCTTCTGAAGCCCGTATCCCTTTCCTAACCAGCGGAACTCAAAGGTGACTTGGTCTTTAGGGTGACAGGACTCAGCAAGCTGGTGAAAAGTAATAGCGCGTGGATGAGAAGTCTTCCTGGGGGAAAAAACACAGTGAATCTAGTCCCCAAGGAGTCCCACGACTGCCACCTGCCTGTCCCCAGAGCTTCCTGCTAGCTCCCTGGACACTGGCTGTCACTCTTCCTTTCAAGCAAGGAGTGGAATGTAATCTATTCCTATGTCACCAAAGAACACTTGCCCTGCCTGTTGCCAAGGAAGGAGGGCAGCATGGCCATCTATGGTGCCTTCGACCCTGGGGGACCCCCCAGCTAGCTCAGGCCTCCCCCTTACTCTAACACTGCCACCTCACCTGTGCAATCGCTGCGTTCCTATGTTCTCTTTAAATAGCTTTCTCCCTCCACCCCACACTTAGGAATCCCACAATATTTTTTTCTACTTTTTCTTTTCTTTGTTTTTTTTTTAACTTTTTAAAAATTTTTTTCTTTTTTTCCCATTTTTTGCAAAACTAACTCTTTCACTTTCCTGTCATAAAATCACCTCTGAAAACACAACTTCTTTACAAAAAAGGTCACAAATGACACAGACTCTCAGGAAAACACATTTCTATGGTCTCTGCAAACACCTGTAACTGGCACCCAGGTGGTGGCTCACCTGGGTAAAGGGGAGGGGGAAATCGCCTCTGGGGACAGAGGTGAAATACCAGCCCTTATTTGGGGGAAAAGCCAATTGGCACTTGGACGGTATCAGGGTTAACACAGGACAAGGTGGGACCTGGACTGTGGTCCCCCTCAAACCCTGTGAGGAGCCGTTTCATACCCTGGGGCGAGGAGGGCTGGGGCTGCGCTGCAGACCCTGGCAGGGGGTAGGAGAGAAGAGTATCTTCCCCTAAGACCAGAATACTTGTCCTTGGGTCAGCTGACTCCACCTTTTACCATGCTCTGAGCAAGGTACCAAGAGCCAGCTCAGGCTACACATAGAAACATCCCACTCAACACCCAAGTGAGTCTCAGGCAGTGGCCAAGGGCAGGCCAGTGGAGTCCCTAGTGCTGTCTGGGGACAGGCACCCTCCCTCTCCCCTCTGGCCTGCCCACTGTCCTTGTACCTGGCTTTGGTCTCGGCCATCAGCATGGATGCCTCGGTTCCCTAGCAGCAGAAGGCAAGCGAAGCTGCCCAAGGCACCCAAAGTCTTCCAACAGGCTAGACTGCCAGGGAGCTCAGCAGTTAAAAGCAAACCAGAAGGGTGGGAGAAACCAAAGATCCTGGGAGGTCTCTAGGCCTTTTCTTTCCTCCAACATCTGCAATAAGAGAGGCTGGAGCTGGGCCCTCCCCATCACAGTCCTCCCCATGCTATGTCTGCAGTGTGAAGGTCTGACTTTCAAGCGTAACACCCCAAGAAGGGCCTGAGGGTTTCATGTCCCCTCAGGAACCTGGGGTTGGAAAAGAGGCCTGTGGCTTCCACGACAAACCACACAGACTGGACTGTATCAGGCCTGGCTAAGGCAAGGGAGGCCACGCCTTCAGTGACCCTGTTCTAAGGAACCGTAAAGGGTGTTGCAGGAAAGCCTGACGCCCTGCACCCAACACACACATGGATCCACACAAGAACAAGCCAAGGGGCAAACACACATGCACAGAAGTTTCCACAGCAGGTTCCTGCAGCACCTTTGGTAGAAAATGTAGGGGGCTTTCAGATGCCCAGAGGCTGCAGCAGGGTGCTATGTCTGCCAGCCCCTCCACCTTCAAAGGGGTTTTGGATAGAGACAGGGTGTGGGGAGCACAAAATCTGTGTGAGCCTGGTCCAGATGTAGGCAAGCAGGGAAGGGACCTCTGGCCCAGCTGCTGCCACCCTCAATGGTGTTGAGGGAGGAGCCTATGTTAGCATCATCCTTCACTCAGTCCCAGGTGGCACTAAGAGACTGTGCCCACCGTAGGTGGGATCTCCTAGGGGCCCTGAAGCAGCCAAGATAGCACCGAGACCAGACACTGCACACAGAGCAAGAAGCAAGCGAGAGGCAGGGTGGGGTGTAGGTAGGACAGTTCTTGGGCTTCCCCAGAAGCCACCTACTGGGCCCCACCTGCAGAATCAGGGACATTTCCATGGACTCCAGGGAGCATTTCTTCCTTCCTGTGCCCTAACCACATTCAGGACTACCCAGCCACATCCCTGGGTCAACACCGAGCCATTTGAGGCAAGCAAAGCACAGGCAGACAGGTCTGAGGGCAGGGACGGGGTGGGAGCACAAGTATGATTCTAGGAAGGAGGCCCCCCCCCAAAGCCTTCCTCCTTGGAGAAACCCCTCACTTGCTGGGCCCAGTGCCACCACCACCCCCTGCAGCACCTGCCACACCCGCAGCCACCTTCTCGAAATCCTCAGGGCTGCAGAATTCTTTGATGGTCACGGTCAGGAGGTTGCTGGTGACGTCTGTGACGACTACATTGGAGCACGGTGACATCTCGGGACGCCAGTCCCCAGCCTCAGGCTCGGAGCAGGCACCTGTGGGCTCCAGGGCTGTGTGGAGCACTTGGCCTGCAGCAGCAGTGACATCAGGAGGTGCCCGCTGGCCGGTGGCTGCCACCTCAGGAGGGATGGACAGATCCAGCACCTCTGGCTCTCGCCAGTTGGGGGCAGATCGGCTCATGGTCTCAGGGAGCAGCTTGGGCGGTGCATCGTCTGGGTCAGAGGACTGCAGTGTGGGTGAGGGGCAGCCGGAAGAGCTGGAGCTGTGTGCGTCATAAGGGGCAGCTGCCGGGGTGGACAGGAGCAGCCCAGGCCCGGAGGAGGCCATGTCGGCTTTGCCTGCGGTAGAGGGCGCCAGAGGGGCGGGCGGGGGTTTGTACAGCGCAAAGGTGCCAAACTTCATATGGCGGATCTGGGTGCGCAGCATGCTCTCGCTGAACTTCTTGCTTTTCCCAATGACCCGGTTCCGTGATGGGACTTTGGGGCGGGCAAGCGCCCCTGCACCCTGCGCAGTGCTGCCTCCTCCTGGACCCTTGTCAATCACCTTCAGGTTCAGGATGATGCGGTTCCGCTTGGGCTCCCGGGGCTTCACCTTGCGGTTGATGATGCGCACGGTCTCAGAAAAGGGCGAGATGGGTGGGCGCAGGCCAGGGCTGCCTCCTTGTGGGTCTGGTCGTGGCAGGGGACGGCGGGACATGCGGTGGCAGCGGCGGATGTCTTTCTTTAGCCGGTGCACAGCGGCACTGGAGTGCAGCTTGGGCGAGGAGGCGCTGGCGCTCGGCTTGACAGAAAAATGCACATCACTGATGCGGAGCGCCTCGGCCTGGGCCCGGGCCTGCGAAAAGGGACGTGGGTGGGATCTCAAGACTTACAGCAGTCCCTGGACACCCCTAAGCCAGATAGCCCTAAGCTCCGTCAACATATATTCAGGAGACTACAAGAATAACCAGTGACTTATGACCCTTCAGACAGAAAAGGACTGGGGGCGGGGGCCAGCTCGGATAGTAGAGTGCTTGGCCTAGCATGTATGGGGCCCTAGGTTCCCCAGCACAACTTAAACCTGTCACCAGTCATGGTGGGGCACACCTGTAATCGCAGCATTCCATAGTGGATGCAGGTGGATTAGAAGTTCAAGGTTATCTTCAGCTACACAGTATGTTTGAGGCTAGCATGGGTTACATGACATTCTTAAGACTTGGTCTTTTCTACTACCACTAAGTGTGCATGTGTGGGGGTGGGTGTGTGGGTGTTCCACAGGCCACTCTTGCTGACTCAAGAATGACATGGACCATGTAAGGGAAGCTTCCATGAAGGATCCCAGCCAAGTTGGGTACTTTTCCAAGGGTTAATTCTTGACAGTAGACCCTCACTGATCCTACCTCCCAGGTGCATCCCTGACTCCACAGATGACCGTCAACTCTAGAGACCATTGTCCCAGCCTGCAGGCCCTCATACTACCCACACCAGTGGTTCCCAAAAACTATACCCAGAAGCCAGTATCAGAACACAGCCTAGGCCTTTGGTGGGGATGAGAAAACCAAGCAGAGACAAGTGTGAGCTCTGAAAAGCCCCAGGGTTCAACAGCGATTCAGCTGCTACCTCAGGGGAACCCACCCCAGAAAGGCCCTCCAAGCTCTGGTTCCCAGCCCGACCCGCCCCTTGCCAGAAGACTTAGAATGGATAGTAGACACGGGCTCCTCCATGACCAGCCCTTCCTTCACTGAGAAAGATGAGGGCCAGCTGCTCAGGTCTAGGAATGGCATTCTCAATAGCTGCTGCTGTCTCTGGAGAAGACGGTGACTTTGTGCAGTGCAGGGAGCACAGCAGAGACCAGACCCACCCAGATATGCAGAGAACCCCAGCAGTTCCTAAGGCCAGAGTGGGACAAGGGCTGGGGATGGAGCCACGCAGGCCACACTCCAGTGCTGTGAGGATGCAGTGGCAGGAGGTGACATCTGTGGCTGCATTCCAAGAGTAACAGACACTCCTGCTCCAGTGGGGCAAAGCAGCCTGTTAGTTTGTGACTGCATTAATCTAGTATGGAGACTAGGTAAGGAGTGACTCATTCTCATGGCTAACCCGTCAGGGCCCCCAGAAGGAATCTGTGTTTGGGGGAGCTCTTCATCTCCAATCCCCACACATTGGATGCTTACTTAGTACAAAGAGACAGCCTATATACTCCGACGGCTCTCCTGGCTTGTGGTGAACTAATGTCTTACCAGGTGGCCCACACCCTCAAGGGAGAAATACACCTTGAGATACTTGGCTCTGCCCCAAAGCTAGGAACTACCTGTCAACACTCACTAACACTGGGTGGCTGCCCACAGATGGACACAGCTAGCTCCCAGGGCTTCTCTCTCCAGTGAGTTCCCCTTACACTCCTTCCCAGCCACATCCACAGGGGAGTTTAAGAATCTCTTCAGAAGCTAGAATATGGCATTCATTCACTCCCAGGCCTGGTGTTTTGTTCTTTTGAATGTGTATGTACACAGATGCCCACATTAGCCAGAAAGGGTCATCTCTCAGAGCTGGAGTTACAGGTGTCTGGGGTCTGGCCCTCTGATAGAACAATGCACTCTCAGCTGCTGAGCCATCTCTCCAGTCCCCACACTGACTGGCTGGGTGCTACAGAGGTCCAGTGGTGACAAATGCTCCACAGAGAGAATATGTACAAACAGTTGACCCAGGATGACAGTCTCCAAACCCCAGACTCCCCTTGTGTGTGATCCTAATGGGTCCTGCCATAATGCTCTCCTGTGGTCAACATCAGAACACCTATTGACCACACAAGTGGAGGCAGCCAGTACTTGGGACAAGCTACGGTTACCTGTAGATGCCAGGCTTCTGAGAAACCAGCTTTTCCTAAGGTATGCTTCCAAACTGTCTGTAAGAAACATTTACTAGGTCTAAACAGTATTGCATAAGATACAATTCTTGGGCTGGAGAGATGGCTCAGAGGTTAAGAGTAATGGCTGCTCTTCTAGAGGGCCCAGGTTCAGTTCCCAGAACCCACATGGCAGCTCACAAGTGTCTGCAATGGCAATTCTGAGGATCCTCTTCTGGCCTCCATGGGCACCAGGCATGAACATGGCACACATACATACATGCAAACCTTTAAATATTAAAAAACAAAACAAACAAACATGTATTTTCCTCAGGTTGAGATTTTTTGACAGTAGGACCTAGGTCTGTCTAGTGAATTTCAAAAGTCACTGCAGATATCAGTCACAACACTCTGACATGACAAGTGGCTCCAGAGTTTGGAATGTACTACAGACAACATCTAGACACTGCCAATAGCTCCTTGTGATGGTGGGCAAATTATTGATCTGTTTTCTTTTCCCAGATGTGAAATGGGGATAGGCCAGTAATCTCAAAACGGCTCAGTATAGCTCCTGGCCAAAAATGTTAAGTGCATTTTGTTGAACTGCCTCCTAGTCACATAGCAACAGGTCTGCCCCAAGCTACCTCTACATCCCTTCAAGCCCTGCAGTTTCCTAAATTCTGGATTAAGATGCACTGTAGGCGGCTCCACCCCTGCACTAGAGACTCTCAGCCATGTTTCTCGAAGATGTGTTCAACTTCACTCTTAAAACTATTCCCATTTGTGAAATGGGGATAGTACTCCCAACTCCACTGGGATGTTGAGGATATTAAAGAAGATGATTCGAGCAGGGGACTCAGCACTGCTGGGATCACAGGCAACCCAGAAACTACTACTTTAGGAAAAAGGTATTTTGATAATTGATGCTCAAGATCATTACTACCTTGGCCACTAGAGGGCGCTCCAGCTGCGCTGAGAGACTGTCAACACACCCCACCAGTCTTCCAGCTGCTCCGCCCACCCCTCCCTACCAGCAAGCATCCGGGTCAAGGTTGCAGCATTAATGCCCGAAGATGCACCGCGACTGGAGGTGGGGAGAGGGGTACAAAACTATAGAATTCTGGAAACCAATATTTTTTCCCACTTTTGCTTCTGGTCCAAAGCTAACCCTTATGACCAGTCCGTTGGCTGGGGGTAGGGGGCCATGTCAATCGGACTGCTCCACCCCCGCCCCCCCACTGAGCATGGAGTGCTTTGGACAAACTGGAGATTACAAGGTTCTGCATCTTGCAGTCTCTTCTCCAAAGAGCCCTTCCTGTTCTTCTGGTGGCAAATTTGTTGGGAAGGAAACCTGAGGCATCCTTAGTCCTTTAGGGAAACTACGGTGGCCTCATGAGGCCACCTGCAGCCTTGCCTTAAGTGGATAACACTGGTAGACTTGCTTTCCTCCTCCCGGGCTCTGTTCCTCCCTTATCAAAAAACCAAAACACCCCTAACTCTCTAAGATGGCTTCCTCTTAAATTCTTTGCTCCCTCGCCAACGCAAACAGGCTATATTTCACCATGCCCCACCCCATCTTCATTGGAACCTCCAGAAATATTCAGGATTGGGGGTAGACAGGCTTAGGACCCGAACGCTGCTAGTCCAGGGCAGATGATCAAACGCCAAGTTGAAGTAATTTAAGGTCAAATTCAAATTGGGCCCCCAAGTGCTAAGGGGAAGGCCCCAGAATACACTCTAAGAGGTGTGGGCAGCTACAGGGAAGGGAGGAGGGTAGCTTGCCAGGAGGTGAGCCTATACTCACTAGCTCCAAGGCTTTAACACACAGGACAGGGCAGGACAAGGCTGCGGAAGGGTCTCACAAGCAGAAAGAGCTTCCTGGTCTCCTCCTCGTTGAGTATGCTCCGACCTGCCTCACCCACCCCCTTCCTGAAGCCCACCCCTCACCCCCAGTCCCTGGTTTCATCCCTGATTACCCCACTCCTAGGCCCCTCTGGCTGGGCTGGCTGGGGCCTGCTGCCAGGGACTCACAACCACCCCCTGCCCATCTGGGGCCCCTCTGGAAAAGCCTGCCCGCCTAGGAAGCGGAGGATCTGTCCCTCCCTTGCAGGCCCTGTGCTGCGCCCTGGCTGGGGGCCCAAGAGGGGGCTGCTGGGACTGGGCCAGGTTACCTTTAGGAGGAAAGTTTTGGGTTTGGGTCCTCTCTTCTTGGGCCCATACAGCTCACGTTCCCTTTCCCTGCAGCCAAGAAACACCAAAAATTACGTGTCCCGGGCCCCACTCCCCGGCCCAGCCCGCTTTTCCCGCTCCCCTGCACGGCGCCCCACCGCTCCGGCCAGCTTGCCCAACTCACTTCTGCTCGAAGGCGGCGATGAGCCTCGAATCCAAAATGTTCTCCTCTGGCTCCCCCGTGCCCTCCCTGCC